CTTACATTTCAGACTAGGGTTGTCAAAAGTATCGATACTTAAAAAAGTATAGATACTAAAATGTTGTATCCCGATACGACTGACTGTCTCCGATTTATTTATGTATTTATTTACGTTGTTTATGATCATTAACAAGACGTTAGCCTTGAACTGCTAGCTGCGGCCAATAGCTAATAATAACATGCTAAAATTAATCATGGGTCAATACTCATTAAAACCTTAAAGTAATCAAAAAGTAATCAAAAGTAATTAGTTACATTACTTTTTAAAAGTAACCGAAAAAGTTACACTACAATTACATTTTAAACAAGGTAAATTGTAACTGTAACGGATTACATTTTTAAAGTAACTTACCCAACACTGATTACCAGTATGTATTAAACTGTGGTTTGCTGTTACTTTGCACTGGTTATCTGTCAAATTAAACCAATCCATTTTTGTATTTTTTCTTAATCTTAGCAGCTTGTCCCTGAGTTAATTTCTCTTTCTGCTAATATTTCGTAACACTCTATGTTTTTCTTAGTTGTGATGTTGCGTCCTTTGCATCATGTACAGCTTCATTGGAGTATCATATCCCCAATAATGTGAACTTTCCCCAAGTGTATTTATTTGTTTATTTTATTTATTTGTTTATTTGACAGGGACAGTACAATTAAACATTGCAACCAATCAGGTGGCCGATGTCCAAGTACATAAGGCTTGTAGCCATGGGCTAAAAACCCATATTCCCCATTTAGTCTCAAGCTTTACCTAGGATGGCAAATCTTTTACCATTTTAAACCAATTCTTTCAACCCTATCAGTTTGTTGGGACACTGAGAATATGCAGTGATGCATAGTGTCTTATTCTGCCTGTAAACACTGTTTGGGGGCCGTTTCATATTTTACCACCATGCTTTTATTGAAACCCTTAATGAATTGAACAAGAAGCACCTTGCATTAATTGGAAATGGTTTTAATGCGATGCCAAAAAGCATTAAATCATTGCACAGAGACGAGTTCATCATTGATATTCTGGAACATTAATCATGATTCTGCCAGCTCCGTGCCCCCAGACTAAAACCGTTCCCAGGTCCAGCATCTGAAACAGTCCTTAGCAATTTCCCATCTGCGTAGGTAATGCTTCGTAAGATAATTATGCGTTTTTTTGTGATTTAGACTGAAACATGATAGAGCTTAGGAGGTAGTAGTGTGGGTTTTTAAAACATGGTCAGGTGATGCTAGTGTGTGTGTGTGTGTGTGTGTGTGTTTGTGTGTGTGTGTGTGATTGAGGTTTAGAAAAAATCCTCCTGTTTAATTCAGGTATGATCGGCTGATCTTTTACACTCTAAATTCCTCCAGATTTCTTCAGTGCTTTAATGACATTCTGCTCTGAACGGGGAGAAATATTCAAATCTATTTTTTTCCCAGTATATTTGTAGACAAACATAAGATCCTCTCCTCAAAGAATCAGTGGCTGGTTTTATACAAATTCATGATTTAGTTTTTTTTTATTCAAGTTTTTATTCTTTCACACTATAGCTTGGATTAATAAGCAAATCATTTTTTGAATAATAGGAGAAAACGATGTTTGGGAAAACAAAACTAAGTGGACTTGAGAGGTATATCTTGGCTCCTGCTGTGTGCGTTGGTGTCACAGTACTGTTTCCTCCCAAACACCTCTTTTACACCTTTTGTATGTTTCCATAAAATGGTAAATCACTGGTAGTTCCAGTGGCTGTAACACTGGGATGGACTCCAAAGCTCGTCCTCATGTTAAAGTGGACACACACACAGTGTTTGAGGCCCCACCTCCCATTAGGTAGAGGCCCTTTGAAAGCTCGAATCTTCTAATCACATCATTTCCACAGAAAATAAGTGACCTGTGGACTTTTTGGTCTTTCTGGTTTTCTAAATGTAAAAAAAAAGAAAAAAACAAAAAGATTCCCATTTGGGATTTGTCCATTTTGTCCTGGAAAGCCGTTCAGGAATCTTGTTCATGTCTGTTCCGTTAAAGTCACATTTTGAACAAAATAAAAAATAAATAACGGCCACATTACCGAGACGAGGTCAGGGGGGGCTTCTCCCCTCACTTTACGACACTTTTCCTATTCTTCCCATCTACCTGTCTTCTTTTTTTTGCACCTGGGAGTTCCTCTCACCACAGGCCAGCCAATCAGCAGCAGGGCATCGGACAGTGGCGAGGTCAAAGGTCAGAGGTCACCGAGGCAGGGGTTGGCAGCAGCGATGCCCATGACAACCCCCCCCCCCCCCAGTGTGTGTGTGTGTGCGTGTGTTTGGAAGTATTTGCATTACTATACTTCACCAGACAAATCCGACTTATTGGTTGACATCCTTTTTTGAGTTTCAGAAAAAGATGGAGAGCCCGTTCTCTCTTCAGCTCAGGGGAAACACCCACAGTGAGGCAGGGTTGTCTTTAAACAGATACTGGGGTGCAGAACGAGCTCCAGAGTGGGTCTGACGAGTGATGATCTGCGTCTGTGAAGTGGAACCTTCGTTTCGATGTGGACTTTAGTCAGAAAATAGCTTTGATGGTTGCATTTGCTCTGATTGTTTTCAGAGATCATGTAAAATGTTCAAAACATCCCACAATGGGCTTTTATGAAGCAGGATTTGGGGTTTATGGAGGTGGGGGGGGGGGAGACTGGCAAAGCCCCGCCCACAGTAGGTGACTCCTCCTACATCTACAATAAAAATCATTAATTCCAGGTGGAAATATCTGTGCAAAACCTTTAGATTTTCTATCAGCTAAATGGTCGATATTAGATTTGCTGTGCATATAATGAGGTTTTCTTCCTGTTTGGTCACATTCAGGCTTTTATAAAAAATAAAAAAATACTTGGTGGAATCTTGAAAAATCAACAAAAAGATGATGAATGAATGATTTCTGAACAATTGAAAAATATTTCATTTAATATATAAAAACATAAATATAGATCAGATATGATATAGATATACATTTAAAAGTAAGGCTAAATACTGGATTGAATCAGGACTTACAAGGAAACACCTGAACGAACACACCAGCGACACATGAAGTGCATAATTCCAATCATCCTACAGAGCCAGACAGTGACTCCGGTAGGCCTGTTGAGTCCACCGTGGGGGGGGAGCATTAGGCTCTCCTTCCTGTCTGTTAGCAGCAAAGGCATATTCTGCTTTTAGACCTGTGTGTCAAACAGGCCGATGACAGATAAAAAAACTAGGCAAGGTCCTTTAGACTGCCGACTGCAATCCAAAAATCATACAACTAGAAATCTTTAACCTCCTGAGACCCGGCCCATTCATTTATGTCCATTATAGTGGACATTTTGTCCACCTGTACATAGTGTTCTGTAGAGCACATCCTGGGCTTTCCAGTGATGTGCCATGTGATAGGTTTGCATGCTGGGAACTTTACTTTTTTCCTAAGAGTTCTTAGGTAAATATCCCTTTCAAGACATCTTCTTTTTTATTATTTAATTATCAAAAGCCTGTTCTATTTTCCCATGCAAATCGTCCTGTTGTCCTCCACAGTGGACATGCTATGAAATTAAAATTAAAAATATTTTTTTAAAAATTGAAATTGTAATGTTCTTTTTTAGGTCCAAATACATGGAAAATGTATGTACAACAAAAAAGAAATTTGAAGACACTTTTTTTCTTTGGGTCTCAGGAGGTTGAAGTGAAGGGAAAAAATAAAAACGTCTTGAAGCCAAAGGTCAAATGTGGGATTCGAACAAACCAGCGGTAGTTCGGGGACATGAGGCCGGGTCTCCAAACTGGTGTTTGTTTAAAGGAAACTCCCCGTTCTAGCTGGTGTAGGTCCTAGGGTTTGTTCTATAGAGAACAGGCCTGAACGGAGGCTCTCAGGGAGAGATGCTCCTCTCAGGCCCCTCGCTTATTTAGCTTTATCCTTTTGACCTGGTTCTCCAAAAGGGAACCTTTCTATTGGTCTGTCCAGGTCCAGATCTGGCGCCTGGGACCGCTGACCTCTGGATGGCTCGCCCTGAAAAGGACCTGCGTAAAGCCACTGTCAACGCTTAAACCTCGGACCCCCGTTTGGGTGATTCGCATCACACGATTCTTAAAAATGATGGTCTGGACAAACAGGAGATTTATTGATAAATTACTGTACAGTCCCTGTGAGGATAGTAACACAAATACTGCTACTCCAGTGTTTTATTGCAGTGTCTGTGGGGCTGGATGGAGATCAGTTCAGTCTCAGAGGAGCTCTCCTCCCCTCGCTAAGCATCCAGGTTAGGGATAAATAGAAATAAAAAAATCAATGAAAAATGTCGGAGTTTTGAGTTCAAAAATAGACTTTTTTGTAAATCAGTAGTTGGCAGGAAGGGGCAGCCATCTTTGTCCATTTGCTTATAACAGGAGGGAAATGGTGGATCGAGAAAAATACAAACCGAAAGTGTTTGTGGCAGGAGACGGAAGGCTTCCAGTTGAAATGAACGGGAAAAGGGACGACCAATCAGTGTGTCTCCTCTCTGAGGACTGGACACAGACGTGTTCACAACATGGCCGAAATGCTTCAGATCCTCCCAAAGTGGTCGCGCACACCTCCCAAAAATACTCAAACAAATCCTTTAAGTCCACGATGAGGTGAAAAGTAGGAGCTCACGCAGGGAGACGGAGTCCGAAAGAGTCCTCTGTTCCACTCCGTCTCCCTGCATGTGAGAATGTAGACAAAAAATACACAAAAACGAGGAGGAATGGAGGGAAAACCCTGAAGAAGAGCTGGACAGCTCAGTCTACTGCCATTATGAACCGGACCGGTCAGTGCTATTGTTGTTTTTGAAGGCCCTTAAGGACAGTTTTATGAAGACAGAAAAAAAAACAATAAAAGGGACAAAAAGTGGACTGAGAGACGTAAACTAAAAGATAAAGGAGCAAAAAAGGGGGGAAAAAGGAGAAGATCTTGGAAGTAGCTCCACAGATGAGGGATGAGGAGGCTGTGTGGGGGTACAGGTGCTGGATGGGAGGATGGGAGGGGGGGGTGGGGGGGGGGGACTAGGACTCTGACGAGGTTCTGGAGCTGCCGTGGACCAGCGACCTGTAGATGCTGGAGGAGAGGAAGCGCGGGTACGAGTCCCGGTGCATCAGCGTGTAGATCTGCAGCTGGGCGTCCTCGAAGGTGTGGGGGGTGGGCTCCTGCATCTTCCGGTTGATCACCTCCCGGACCCGGGCATCCAGGCTCACCTGAGGGGGACACTGAGTTTAGAGGGGGGGGGAAGACCCGGACAGCTCTGTGTGTAAAGATGATAACAACGGACTTTATCAATAAAGTTGCGATTGAACGATCTAGAGATCGGTAATCTATTAGTTTTTTGTTGTTTCAGTTCAAAAAAGTTAATAAGATAAAGATAAAACTCTATTTAGAATGTTTTCTATTGAGTGTTTTGTGTCGTGAATTAACAATGTTGTTGCCTGTTTTATTACACTTAACTCTCTGTCTTACTTTAAGTTTTAAGTTGGGATCGAATTATCTGTTTTCGACTGCTAATGCCTCGCCTAGCATGTGTCGGAACGTGTGGCTCTCGTTCTTCCATTAAAGCATTGGATTGAACGAAGCTACATCGTGTCCGTGTTTTCTTTCTATTTTCCCCTTTTTCAGGTAAGAGCGACGGTTGTTTTATGTTTGAAATGTTTAAGAATGCACTTATATTATTTCAGTAATGCGGAGAGTAAATATTGAGTTACGAATACTGTCTGTGCACTTTGTAGATCGAACATGATGTTTTAGCGTAGCTTCATGCTAACTCTGTCGGGCGAAGGAATGCTAAGGGGTGGATCAAATGGAACGTGGTTGCCATTTTCCCCCATTTTATTTGTTTATATGGAAAAGAGACGATAAAAGTGCTATTTAAGATCATTGTTCAGACAAGTGTGTGGGAAAAGAGAAATTACATATGTAATTATGTGAAAACATGTTTTGCTCTGGTTTGTACATTACAGCATTGGATTGAACGAAGCTACATCGTGTCCGTGTTTTCTTTCTATTTTCCCCTTTTTCAGGGGCGTAACATGTGCACATTCAGCTCACTCACGCCGACACCTCGGCCTTCTTCTAGTTTCCAATTCGGCCACAGAACCTCCATGGGGTGGAGCTCTGAATTCAGCCTGTCCTCGGTGGACTTTCTGGTTTATTTACTGGTTTATTTTCGGGTTTCTGTGGATCCAATTGCACTTTAGCTTCAATTTCTCTACAAACGCTCTAATATGTTCCTCAAGTAAACACACTCATGATGGACGCTGCCCAAATGATTATTGTCATCAATGCATTTTCAAATATACTGTTTTATCTTCTTTTAAAAGAAGAAATTATTATTTTGGGCGGCACGGTGGTGTGGTGGTTGGCACCTTCACCTCCCAGCAAGAAGGTTCTGGGTTCTAGTCCCTGGGGGAACCAGGACCTTTCTGCCAGGAGGGTTCTGGGTTGGAGTCCCGGGGGAACCAGGACCAGAGGGTTCTGGGTTGGAGTCCCGGGGGGAACCAGGACCAGAGGGTTCTGGGTTAGAGTCCCCGGGGGAACCAGGACCTTTCTGGGTGGAGTCTGCATGTTCTCCTGTGTCTGTGGGTTCTCTCCGGGTTCTCCGGCTTCCTCCCACCGTCCAAAAACCTCCTGGTTAGGTTGGTTGGACTCCAAACTGCCCTTAGTGTGAGTGTGTGTGGTTGTTGGTCCTTGTGTGTCTCTGTGTGTCCCTGTGATGGACTGGGGGACTGTCCAGGGTGTACCCCGCCTCTCGCCCGTTGACCACTGGGATAGGCTCCAGTTCTCCCCGCGACCCCATTAGGGAATAAGCGGTAATGACAATGGATGGATGGAAATGATTATTTCTGATTGATAAGTCAGATTCTATTAAATGCCAATTGACCGTTAGTTTTAGTAGCTGTTCTGCTGGATACCCTGGAGTCGAGCTTAAATTTGGGGATACGGAAGCCTCTCTTAAACTTTAGAGTGTGAATTAAAGCTGTATGGCCTCGTGGGGGCAAAGGGAGAGACAGGACTCGGTGCCAACGGAACCCGAACGCCCCACAGAAGGCAGACACGGTAACAGGAAGTAAACGTCTGACAGGACACCTGGATGCAGCATTAAAAAAAACAGACCAAAGCTCAGATGACCCGCAGGCCCACAGATCATACAGACGGAGACAGGATATGAAAAAGCTGCTCATAATGCCCCAAAGGCCAAGCGGGAGCCAGAAGTTCCTCACTTTCTGGGTTTGCCGTGCACAAAATGCTCTCCTCCTGTAGAATGAGCAGAACCTGTGTGGTGGATACTCCTATGACCACCATTAAGGACCCCAATTAGACTCCAGCTGGAGGTGGAAGCCTTGGAAGATACCATTTTTCCAAAGACTGAGGGAGGGGGAATGTTAAGTTTGAAGCTAAGTTCAATTGAGCCTAAGTTATGTTGTCATTTTAATATATTTGTATTAGGTTAAATATGATTTTGCTTCTATTTTGTTAGGTTTTGTGGTTATTGTACTTATATAGCGGGATGTTTAGGGCTGTCCACCCCTATTTAAGCAGCTTTGGTTCTGTCTGGAGGTCAGTTTGGTTTGTGTCTGGTTGCTGTTAAGTTGACCTCACATGGGTTATTTATACTCTTAGTTGTATTGTATGGAAGTATGACATTTTGTAATCATTTTTTGATATTAATAAATTGAAATTTTTCCTAATTTTTGGAACAACTCTGTCCCACACAACCTGATTGCATGCATTAGTGTCAGAATGTCTTCTAAATGCTTCTGCACTTTCCGAGAACAAGTTGCAAAGACAGGATAAGAAACCAGAATGACAGGTTTATGCTGAATTACTCCTAATTTATACTAAAATAAATGGATTAAAAATTGTTATATGGCTTTATTTGGTCAGTTTTCTGTTCCTTGTAATTTCCTTTTAAGGTGAATTCTTTCCAGGCTCTTCTGGGTTTCCACTAAATCTGGAACCTCGCTGCATTACAGTGAGTTAGATTTATGCTGATCTTAGTATTTGCTTGTTTTGTCAGTGTACAGCCACTAAGTCACTAAGTCCACACTAACACACACACACAGACACACACACACATGCACTCAAAGTGGCCCTCCAGCCTGGACACATGCAGATATTTATAGAAAGACAAGCGATCTCTTATGTCCCCCCCCCCCCCCCCCCCCCCGCTCTTATTTAAGGAGGACACACACTCACCAGCAGACAGGCAACATACCAAGGTCAGACGAGCAGACACACACACACACACACACCCTGCTTATGAGTGTGTGTTTCTATAAAAAGCCTCAACTGCCAGAAGGTGATGATAGCAACAAGTTCTTGCATCCTGCAAACACACACACACACACACACACACACACACACACACACACACACACA